GCAGGGCCATTCATCTCTCAGTGCCCTCCCAGCTCAGAGTTCGTCCCGTGCTCCATCGGGTCAAGGCTCGTCTATGTCAAGTCCTTCTACCAGTCATCCCGGTGCTCGGGGCTCCCTTCAGTCCCCAGCACCTGCACCGGGGAGTTGTTATGAGTGTGGAGAGTTTGACCACATCAGGAGACATTGTCCCCGCCTTACGGGAGGTCCGACTCAGCAGAGGAGCCCGTCTGTGACATCAGCACCAGTTTCTTCACCACCCGCTCAGCCAGCTCGGGGTGGAGCCCAGTCAGCTAGGGGTCGCCCGAGAGGGGGGGCAGATCAGGGGGTGGCCAGGCCCGTTTCTCTGCCCTCCCTGTCAGACCAAATGTCATTGCTTCGGATGCTGTGATTACAAGTATTGTCTCAGTTTGCCATAGAGATGCCTCCGTATTATTTGACCCCGGTTCCACTTATTCATATGTGTCCTCGTATTTTGCTCATTATCTGGATATGCCCTGTGAGTCTCTAGTTGCATCTGTTCGTGTATCCACTCCAGTGGGCGATACGATCATTGTGGACCGTGTATATCGGTCATGTGTGGTGACTATTGGGAGTCTGGAGACTAGAGTGGATCTCTTGTTGCTTAGTATGATCGATTTTGACGTGATTTTGGGAATGAATTGGTTGTCTCCATGTCATGATGTTCTAGATTGTCACGCTAAGATCATGAAGTTGGCGATGCCGGGGCTGCCAAGGGTTGAGTGGAGCGGCTCTATGTTCCCACTAGAGTGATTTCATAGTTGAAAGCTCAACGGATGGTTGAGAAGGGCTGTCTATCTTATCTGGCCTTTGTGAGGGATGTTAGTGCAAAGGCCCCAGCTATTGATTTTGTTCCAGTGGTGCGAGATTTCCCGGATGTGTTTCCTGCAGACCTGCCGGGCATGCCGCCCAATAGGGATATTGATTTCGATATTGATTTGGTGCCGGGCACTCAGCCCATTTCTATTCCACCATATCGTATGTCACCCGGAGTTGAAGGAGCACTACTACAAAAAAACTAGTGTTTAGCCGCTGAAGCCGGGGTCGGTAAAGCCTTTAGCGAAATTTCTTACAAAAGCTGGTAAAGGGTATGACTTATTGCCGCTAAAACACATTTACTTTAACGGCAAATATTTGCGGCAATTATGATGGATGCTAAACCCACTCTAAAAATGGCTAATAATGCTCCTTCAATGTCCATTTTTATGGCCGCTAAAGTTAAAACAATTATCGCTAAAAGTCCATACCTTTAGCGGTAGTTGTTTTGTGGCAATTAGAGTGGCAACAATATCTCTTCTAAAAACGTATGATTATGCCCTTTTAGCGTCCATTTTAATGGCTAGTAAATTCAACTAAATTGCCGCTAAAAGTCATTTTAATAGCAATTTAATGACTACAATATTCATGTATAAACGTCTTAATTTGCCCTTTTATCGTCCATTTTATAGCGAGTATATCCTATTAAATTGGCACTAAAAGTCACGAGCTACAACAGTAAGTTTAGCCACCACTAATAATAACTACTACATTCGATCAAAAAATAATACAAATAACAAAACATACCAATATTAATTCATCAAACCATAATATATCTCGTTAAATCTTAACAAACAAAAGGAAGTACTTCCAAAATATTAAATATCATAGTAACTTAAAAAAATAAACTTAAATTATTTAAACTAAATAGCTAATGTCATTATATAACTAATCTTAACGAATAACAATCTTCAAATAATTTCTGCAACTCTTCGTCATATTGAAATCTTCCACCCGCTAAATTATCGAACATCAGACTATATGACCTGAAATTATAAAATAACTATGTCCCAAACCACGGTTCTCCGGTTATAATTTGGCTATGTCTCAATTCCGAGCTAGTTAGAGCTTGCATAAAATTATTATTAGATAAGTCAATTCTTCCATATAGTAAAAGAGAACACACAACGCTTATGCAATGTTGGGAAGAGAAACTTCCATAATAGTGAAATGATCGAGACCGTGTCAGGAGCAACTACATCATACTGCAGGGGACAACCAAGAATAATCTCAGAATTCACAGGCCAATACATATAAGTTCATTACTATTATCAGTTATGACCAAACCACAAACTTTCACTAGCCACCACAAGAGTTCCTCAGGTTATGGCTAGACCAAGTTATTGAGGGTTACTTGGATCTAACTGAAACTTTCTTAGATCAATGAATCAAATGTCATCGATCTTCAAGATTTCACCAGTTCTATAATGCTTGACTTACACAAACATACAGAAAGATACCTTATACACCTCAGTAAAGACTGATAAAACACACATAACCCAAAGCACAAATACACGGAGAAAGAAGAAAGATGCTCAAACACGTGTACACAAAAAGGTTGGAACAACACTATGAAACATCATAAATGACCACCTTCGTTGAAGTATCATTTAAAGTAGTGCAAAGCAAATGATTCTGCTTCAAATGCATGTCACTCAGACCAAGAGGACGTGTAGCAAAGTACTTACGAGTTGTCTTTCCACTTCCAGTTTCTCCAACAATTATCAGAGTGTCATTGTTTCGCACCTCCTCCACTAGTCTCCTTTCAACTGCAGCAATTGGTAAATTTTTTCTCTGTTGCTCAATCTTTTGCTTCCTGGCAAAAAAATCTCGGTTAGGGTGATGGTGATGACTGTTTCTTGAAACATTATTAGCAGGCCATTGAAGGCATGTCTCAAGATTTGCTCCCAAAACACTTGTTAATGGTGAGGTCGAAACTTTGTACGCTATTTTGGGCTGAACGTTAATGACACTGTTGAATTCTTGAGCCCCTCATGTAATGACATGTATTAGAAAGAAATTAAGAAATGAAAAAATGGAATAACAAAATAACAAGAACATCAATATGAGAGATGATATGGGACTGGATATTTTATTTGTCAAAAATACACAAAGCAAAACAAAGTTGACAAAACTCAATTCAAGCTAATGGTTGTATGAATTCAAACACTGTAAAATTAGGTTACATATATAGATAGAATTAAAAGGTGAGAACTGCAGAAAATCTATTGCTTTGATGAAACTCATGAACTGCATCTCTTCAAAGACAGATTAAACAAATGAGTCCGTAGAGACTTTCAATATATTAAGTAACTGCCTAATGCACAACACCATCAGACCAACAATCCGGGAAGTGGAAAGATAAGTTATCACAGCTGCAAAGCAACTATATGTTAAATACCAATCTACACAAGTTCATGGACTTTCTATGCCTAAAAGCAGACCAAACTATTGCAGCTGCAATGGATCAGATGCCACACTGAGGCAACTTGTTACTTGTAAGCAACACATACTTAAGTAGAATATTCAGATAATTGATTCAAGGCCAAATAATTCCTATTGTGCTATTGAATGTAGTCATGTAATGTCACTGTATGGCTCATGACTGCTCTGTCTCGTAGGTCGTTCACAATTAGAATTTTCAATGGTATCTAAATCTTAAAAGAAGTTTTAAAAATGGGTTTTCTTAAAAATATGGTAGACAATGGTGGCAAGGGAGTTACTGTGTAGCCAACTTATAATCTTATACTTGTGGCAGAAAGATGGCTTCCTCAAACTTTACGGTGTTGCCAACTTATAATCTTATATTATAATGAGACAATATGAGATGTAGTCCCAGTCATTTTTAATTTCTTTCAAGTCCCATATAATAATGAATGGTCTCAGAAGAAAATATAAATACACAATGGAATTCCACCTAAACACCAAAATGAGCCTTCTAAAATAATGCTTTTATAATAGAACAATAAAATATCATAATTTTACAGAAAAACTTACATAGAAGGGGCTTTTGGATTTGTAGCAGATGTTTCTCCTGTGAATAGCTCTGTGGAATCCATCTTTTTCTACATTAAAAATAAATATAACATATTAGGCACTCTTCTTGAATACTTTTGGTGTGCATTTGGTGATGTCTGAAGATGTAAAAGGTTCCCTAAGAAGCTGGCAAAATAACAGGGTAGCAGCAGCTAAGTCATTAAAAGATGTGAAAGCTATGTCCCATTTAAAGATGAACTATGTTGTCATCAATAGCAAAAACTTATCCGACAACTGCAGCAGCAACACCATGGATGAGCAACATTTCCTCATAAGAATTGCTTTAGGTAATACATTCAAATTGGAAATTTTACTTAAATATTTCATCAATTGTATGCGACACATGTAATGCAGGGCACATAAATTGGAAAGTTAGGATGAAAATTCTTACCAGACATCACCTCACCTATTGACAACCCATAAATAAAAATATGGCATATTTTTAACTTTCAACCTCTTTATCCCCCAATATGAAGCATTCATATGAAACTATCCGACTTTCCGCCTCTTTATCCCTCAATATGAAGCATTCATATGACTATCCAATAACCCCTCGTTTGATAAGAGTAATTTAAACAGATAAGTCATCACTAGAGAAAATTAAAACATGTTGTGCGATTCACATGGCTAGAGTAATTTGTTTGGTATTTAAAAAGAATTATTTATTTATCTGCACTATTTTCCTTTATCTCCATATTTAGTTAGAAACAATCAAAAAACTAAAACTATTCAGAGCAACTACATAGCTATAGTTCTTTACTATCACTAATTTAAAGTTTTCATTCTTAATACTTCTTTTAGCTATAACTTCTCAAGATTTGTTTATTCTTTTCAGATCTACCGTATGTATAGATTAAATTTCATTCTATTGAGGTAAAGAGTTCAACAACCTAAAGAAAATGACTATAAAATCAAATAAAAATAAATTCTCCAGAAAATCAATAATAATCCATAAAGCACCTGATGTAGAATATTGTTTGAAAACAATCTCTAACAGATATTTACAATTTATTAGAATACATAAAACAAAGAGATTAAACAATTAAAAAAACAAATAGAGATAATAACAGACCTTGAGCTCAGAGGCCTCTTGGCTTCTTAAATTTCAGAAAAATAGCTTCTTAGCGGTTCCTATACTCGGACGAGTGTTGACGACGAAGAAGAAGCGCAGTACCTATTTTTGCATCTGTCAACGACACTGTTGACATTGTCGAGTAGTAATCAAAAGAGGAAGAACATGAAATATCAGACTAATCGATCGTACAGGAAATATAGAGATGAATTTTGGGCGCTAGGGTTTCAGTGGAGATTCATTGTTCATTCCTCTATGTCCTGGATGAAAAAGGAATAAAAGAATGACTAATTAATTATGAATACTAAGGAGGGAAATGAAAAACAATTTGGAGGGAGTGTAAAAAAATGTCCCGCTCTTGGACTTATTAAGAGTTCAGTAAAAGGCATAAGGTTTGGTGGCCCATTATAAGTCAATTGCCGGGAAAAAGTATTTATTCTCGGCAAATAATCAATTGCCGGTAACATTGGCCTTTACATAATAAATTAGTGGCAAGTATGTTATTGCTATTATATAATTGCCGCTAAAAGCCTATTTTGTAGGAGTGGAGCAGCTTCAGGAACTCCTTGATAAGGGGTTTATTCGGCCTAGCGTGTCACTTTGGGGTGCACCAATTCTATTTGTGAAGAAGAAGGATGGTACTATGAGAATGTGCATTGATTACAGACAGTTGAACAAGGTCACAATCAAGAACAAGTATCCTTTGCCGCGTATTGATGATTTGTTTGACCAGCTTTAGGGAGCGATGGTGTTTTCCAAAATTGATTTGAGGTCAGGGTATTATCAGCTGAAGTTTCGGGGCTCAGATATTCTTAAGACAGCTTTCAGGACCCGATATGGCCATTATGAGTTCCTTGTGATGTCTTTTGGGCTAACCAACGTCCCAGCAGCGTTCCTGCATCTGATGAACAGTGTGTTCGGCCGTATTTGGACTCGTTCATCATTGTATTCACTGATGATATCCTGGTGTACTCTCGTAGCCAGGAGAAGCATGCCCAGCATCTGAGGATTGTGTTACCGCGATTGAGGGAGGAGAAGCTTTATGCAAAGTTCTCCAAGTGTGAGTTTTGGCTCAGTTCAGTGGCGTTCTTGGGGCACGTGATGTCCAGTGAGGGTATTCAGCTGGATCCGAAGAAGACAGAAGCGGTGTAGAGTTAGCCCAGACCGTCCTCAGCCACGGAGATTCGGAGCTTTCTTGGGTTGGCGGGCTATTACCGTCGTTTTGTGGAGGGTTTCTCATCTATTGCATCGCCCTTGACCAAATTGACCCAAAAGGGTGCTCCTTTCAGGTGGTCGGAGGAGTGTGAGGAAAGCTTTCAGAAGCTCAAGACTGCTTTGACCATGACTCCAGTTCTAGTCCTACCATCAGTTTCTGGTTTNCATTTCAAGTGGTCGGAGGAGTACGAGGAGAGCTTTTAGAAGCTCAAGACTGCTTTGACCATGACTCCAGTTCTAGTTCTACCATCAGCTTCTGGTTTTTACACAGTGTATTGTGATGCCTCGCGGATAGGTATTGGGTATGTTCTGATGCAGGAGGGTAGAGTGATTGCTTATGCTTCGCGCCAGTTGAAGACCCATGAGAAGAACTATCATGTCCATGACCTTGGGTTAGCAGCTATTGTTCATGTCTTGAAGATTTGGCGGCACTATTTGTACGGGTCCATTATGAGATTTACACTGATCATCGGAGTCTGCAGCATCTGTTCAAACATAAGGATCTTAACTTACGTCAGCGGAGGTGGTTGGAGCTTCTTAAGGACTATAATATCATCATTTTGTACCATCCCAAAAAGGCCAATATAGTGGCCGATGCCTTGAGTCGCCGAGCGGAGAGTTTGGGGAGCTTAGCATAACTTCCAGCAGCAGAGAGGACATTGGCATTGGATGTTCAGGCCTTAGCTAGTCAGTTTGTTAGATTGGATGTTTCTGAGCCGAGTCGAGTATTGGCTTGTGTGGTCTCTCGGTCTTCTCTTTATGATCGTATCATGGAGCGTCAGTATGAGGACCCCCATCTGCTTATCCTTAAGGACACGGTCCAGCACGGTGACGCTAAGGAGGTCACTATTGGGGATGAAGGTGCATTGAGGATGCAGGGCAGGCTATGTGTGCCCAATGTAGATGGTTTGTGTGAGTTGATTCTTCAGGAGACTCACAGTTCGCGGTATTCTATTCATCTGGTTACCGAGAAGATGTATCAGGACTTGAGATAGCATTACTGGTAGAGGAGAATGAAGAAGGACATAGTGGAGTATGTAGCTCGGTGCCTAAATTGCCAGCAGGTGAAGTATGAGCATCAACGACCAGGTGGGTTGCTTCAGAAGTTAGAGATTCCGGAGTGAAAATGGGAGCGAATCACTATGGATTTCGTTATTGGGCTTCCTCGGACTTAGCAGAAGTTTGATGCAGTTTGGGTGATTGTGGGCCGACTAACCAAGTCAGCTCATTTCATTCTTGTGATGACTACCTATTCTTCCGAATAGCTGGCTCAAGTATATATCGGCGAGATCGTCAGGCTTCATGGCGTACCGGTATCTATCATCTCTGATCGGGGTATGCAGTTTACATCACGGTTCTGGAGGGCCGTACAACATGAGTTGGGTACTCGAGTAGAGTTGAGCACAGCATTTCACCCTCAGACGGACGGACAGTTCGAGCGCACTATTTAGATATTAGAGGATATGCTCTGTGCGTGTGTGATGGAGTTTGGGGGTTCGTGGGATCAGTTCTTGCCTCTAGCGGAGTTTGTTTACAACAACAGTTATCAGTCAAGCATCTAGATGGCACCATATGAGGCTCTGTATGGTAGGCAGTGTAGGTCTCCAGTGGGTTGGTTCGAGTCGGACGAGGCTAGATTATTGGGTACAGACTTGGTTCAGGATGCTCTGAAGAAGGTTAGAGTAATTCAGGATAGACTACGCACAACCTAGTCCAGACAGAAAAGTTATGCGAATTAGAAGGTTCGCGATGTTTCATTCATAGTTGGAGAGCGGGTCTTGCTCCGGGTGTCACCCATGAAGGGTGTTATGAGGTTCGGAAAGAAGGGCAAGCTGAGTCCGAGCTTTATTGGTCCATTTGAGGTATTGTGACGTGTTGGGGAGGTTGCTTACGAGCTTTCCTTGCCTCCCAGTCTAGCAGGAGTTCATACAGTATTCCATGTTTCTATGCTCTGGAAGTATCACGGCGATCCGTCTCACGTGTTGGATTTCAGCTCAGTCCAGTTGGACAAGGATTTATCTTATGATGAGGAACCATTGGCGATCTTAGATAGGCAGGTTCGAAAGTTGAGGTCAAAGAGTATTGCTTCTGTGAAGGTTCAGTGGAGGGGTCAGTCGGTCGAGCAGGCGACTTGGGAGACCGAGCACGATATGCGCAGCTGTTATCCTCATCTTTTCACTACTTCATGTATGTCTCTATGCTCGTTCGAGGATGAACGATTGTTTTAAGAAGGGGAAGATGTAACGGCCCGGCCGGTCATTTTGAGTGTATTAGCCCCGATACCCCCGTATCTGTTTTTGCTTATGTGACTTGCTGGGAGGTCTTGTTTTTGATTTTGAAGTGTTTTGGGACACTTAGTCCCTAAAATAAAAGCTTAAGTCTTAGAATTTTGACCGTAGTCGGAAGTGTGTAAAGACAACTCCGGAATGGAGTTCTGTCGGTTCCGTTAGTTCCGTTGGGTTATTTTGGACTTAGGAGCATGTCCGGACTGTGAATTTGAGGCCTGTAGCTAATTTAGACTTGAAATGGCGAAAGTCGAATTTTGAAAAGTTTGACCGGAGGGTTGACTTTTTGATATTGGGGTCAGATTCCGATTCCAAAAGTTGGATTAGGTCCGTAATGTTGAATATGACTTGTGTGCAAAATTTGAGGTCAATCGGATGTAGTTTGGTAGGTTTCGGCGTCGTTTGTGGAATTTAAAAGTTTAGAAGTTTTTTAGGCTTGAATCCGGGTGTAATTGGTGTTTTGATATTGATTTGAGTGATTCCAAGGCTTTACTAAGTTCGTATGGTGTTTTAGGATTGGTTGGTATGTTTGTTTTAGGATTGGTTGGTATGTTTGTTTTAGGATTGGTTGGTATATTTGGTTGAGGTCCAGGGGACCTCGGGTGAGTTTCGGATGCTTAGCGGATCATTTTTGGCCTTGGTGAGATAGTTGATATCTGCTGCTGCATTTTTTCTGGTTTCATCTTACGCGTTCGCGAAGAGTGTTTCCGAGTTGGTGAGATTTTCTCTCTATGCGTCCGCGAAGGAGAGGACGCGAACGCGAAGGTATGGCAGTGTGTGCATCGCGAATGCGTGAGTGGCGTCGCATTCGCGAAGGGGAGTGAGGCAGCTAGGGACCCCCAGTATTTTGTTCTACGCATTCGCGAAGGTCTGAGTTTGCAAATCTTCGCGTTCGCGAAGAGTTGAGTTGAGAGGCAGTCTGAGTTGGTCTACGCTGACGCGAGAGGACGGTCGCGTTCGCGAAGTAGGAAATCTGGGCAGACAGTATTAATTTCAAAAACGAGGGTTTGAACCCATTTTGCATATTTTGAGCTAGAGAACACGGAATTGGGCGATTCTTGAAAGGATTTTTGTGGAGTTGATTGGGGTAAGTGATTCCTACTTGGTTTTGGTAAAAACCCATGATTATATCTTTAATTTTATCATCTAATTTGTGATTTGGGGTGAAAAATTGGGGAAGAAGATGAAGTGTTCTTAAGTTTGATTTTTGGGGTTTTGAATGGGAATTTTTTATCGGATTGGAGTAAATTTGGTATGGGTAGACTCGTGAGTGAATGGGCTTTTGTGTTTTATGACTTTTGGATTTTGAGATGTGGGCCAGGGTTGGCTTTTGACCAATTTCGGATTTTGGCTTGTAACTTCGTATTTTTCTTATGGAATTGATTCCTTTAGCCTATATTAATTATCTCGTACTGCTTGTGGCTAGATTCGGGGCATTTGGAGACTGATTCGAGGGTCAAAGGCATTGCGGAATAGAATTTTGCGCGGTTTGAGGTAAGTAACAGTCTTAAATCTGGTTTTGAGAGTATGGAACCCCGAGGATTGGTATGATGTGAGTGTTTGGAGGTGACGCACATGCTAGGTGACGGGCGTGTGAGCGTGCACCGCGAGGGATTGTGACTTGGTCCGTCCCGTGTGACTGTAAAGTCGAATAGCCATTGTTATTACTTATTTTTCTTTGTCTTTGAGAAATTGATTGCCTTTCATGTTAGAAACCATGCTTAGGCCATATGATATCACTATTGGGACCCGCAACGGTCGTATACTTGTTGAATTGACTGTTAATTGCTGTCTTGTACTCAGTCACAGTCTTACTTGTGTGTTATATCTCTGTTCCCTCTCATTTCTTGTTAATACTTATTGTATTCTCTGTTTGGGCTGATTATTA